CCGGCGCCCGCGCCCCGCGCCTCCGGGCCGCCGCCGCAGCGCCCACCTCCCCGCGCCGCGCCCTCCGCAGGGCCGCGGCGCGCTGAGCAGCCTGGGACTTGTAGTCCCGCCCCCGCCGCGCCCCCGCAGCGTGGGAAGACCGAGGTTCCTTAGCGACCTGGGCTAGCTCCACCCCAGTTTCCACACATCTTGGGGCTCCAAGGTCCGCCTATCCCGGGAAGCAAAGTCCTGTTTCTTTATGAGAGTGTGGCTTCCACGAGAGGGGTTTTCTAAACCTGTGGAGGGTCCACTTAATACTTCCCTAAACTCCGAATAAGCTTTGATTTTAAAATCTTCGCCCAGCCAGTCGTAGGCTGAAACTGTGAAAATGAGAGCGGGTGTTGCCTGGTACAGAGTGGGTGTTCGGTAAATATTTGCAGAGTTTGTGAATGGAAGCCAAAGTATTTACTGCCTCTCTACATCCTGGTTTGTTCACTGAATTAAAAAAAAAAAAAAAGTATGGAGGCGTTCTCTGCAGGAATCAAACACTGGGAGACTTGGCAGTGACAAGCCAATGACTTCCTGGCTTCATGGAGAATATATTCTGATAAAGCAGAACAATAATGCACACATTTTAAAGGGCAGACAAGTGGAACAAGTGCTTTGCTGCAAAAAGGCTGTTATGACCTGTACATCATGATTGCTGCTTAAAATTTACCACTGTGCTGCTTAGTGTTTTGCTGCTTGACACAAGCTACAGTTCTTTGGGAAGGAGACACTTTAGTTGGAAAAAAAAATGCCTGCAGAGAATTGGCCTGTAGAGAAGTCTGTGGGGCAGGGGGGTGGGGGGAGAGAAGGGGGCATTTTCTTGATTGATGTGGTGGTGCCATCCCTAGGCAGAGGGTCCTGGATGGCATGAGAAAGCAGGCTGGGGCAAGTCATGAGAAGCAAGCCTTGAGGAGCGGTCCTCCATGGCCTCTGCTTCAGTTCCTGCTTCCAGGTTCCTGCCCCAAGTTTCTGCCCAGACTTCCCAGTGATGGACTGTAATCTGTAAAGTGAAACAAACAAACAAACAAACAACCCCCTTTCCTTCCCAAGTTGCTTTTGTTCATGGTGCTTTATCAAAGCAATAGAAACCTTAAGACTGAATATGAATACGAAGCTCATTTTTTTTTTCTTCAAAGAGAAATAGACATTCTGGTTATATTTGTGAGGACATAGCAAATGCCCCATCAAAAGAGGGTGTTAGACCCCATGGAACTAGAATTATAGGTCATTGTGAGTTACTATGTGGGTGCTGAAAACCAAACCCATGTCCTCTTCAAGAGTGGCTAGTGCTTTTAGCTTCAGAGCCATCTCTCCAGGCCTTTGTTCCCTCCCTTTTGCATATTTTAAACAAACAGACAAACACAGGCACGCACACACAGTGGAAAAGACAGGACACCAAAGTAGACTGCCTATTTGGAGATTGGGTTAGGCTGTTTAACCTCTTTTTTGCTGCGGTCTTTTATTGACTGCCGTTGTTATTGTTGTGGTATTTTCATAAGCAGATCCTGAGAGTGAAATCTATCAGTCCACCTGGTCTACCTGCACGGTAGGCTAGAGACATCCATGCCGAGTGCCATCTGGGCCGAGCTAGGGAGTTAGGGGAACCAAGTTCAGTTTAAGCCTCACTCTGTGGATATGAGGGCCTATGACTAACTGGCTTGTGGAGGAAGGCAGTCAGGATGGGGTATGACTTTGAAATTCTATGGAAAGGGGAAGAGCTGGGAAAAGTCAATCTGTGTAGCTGAGATGTGAGAGGCGAAAGGATCCAGCCCATTTCAGCCAGCTTCGAGAAAGTGGGGCTAGCAAATGAACTAAAGGTCTTAGAGGACAGATTCAGGCTCTGTGGATATCATTTGGAGGTAGATGTCTGATAAATATAGAGATGACATCCTTCTTGGGCAGAAGGAAAGAGCCTCCTCCCTGGGAGAAAGTCTGGGCTGGCAGGCTGGAGCAGGTAGACAGTACTGGGTGAGGCATCAATCCTATGCTGGTCTGCTGTACTTGAATTCCCTGGTCATTCACATTGGATGAGATTGGGTCCTTAATTTAATGCTGCAGGGCCCTGCCTTCTTCCTTTTGGAGGCCACATCTCATGCCACAGTAAACACACAATGCTCTCACGTCCCATAGTAAGTATCAACAAAATTTGGCCATAAAAATGTTCAAAGATTGGGGCTGGAGAGATGGCTTAGTGCAAGGGTTTTCAACCTCTTTAATACAGTTCTTTATGTTGTGGTGTTTCCCAACCATAAAATTACTTCATTGCTATTTCATAACTGTAATTTTGCTACTGTTATGAACCACAGTGCAAATATCTGATATGCAGAACTCCCATGAAAGGGTCAGTTGACCTCAAGGGAGTCACAGGCCACAGGTTGAGGACCACGGCTTAGTGGTTAAGAGCATTTGGTCCCAAATTTGATTCCCAGCACCCACATGGCTCACAACCACCAGGGCTCCACTTCCAGAGGATCTGATACCCCTCTATGGACACTGTATGTGTGCATGTGGTTCGCACTGATATAGCCAGGAAAATACTGACGCACACGAATAAAAAGTTCATAATTGTGCTCTTGATATTACATGATGATGAGTTGTTCATTTTAATTTCCACTTTTCAAAAGAGATTGTTCATTTTTTTTGTTTTATTTTATGTATATGAGTGTTCTGCCTGCATGTATGATGTGTGCACCACATTTGTGCCTGCTCCTCCAGAGCTGGAGTTACAGACGGTTGTGAGCCACCACATGGGTGCTGGGAACAGAATCCCGGTCTTCTGCAAGAGCATCAAGTGCTCTTAACCATTGGGCTATCTCTCCAGATCCTGACTATGATTCGCTAAGAATTTCATATGTCTCCATGGCAATTCCAGCCAACTGAAAAAAAAATTCTACAGGGTCTTTTTGAGAGTGAAGGTGTGGACGTAATGTGGCATTTTATAGATATTTAAGTAAATGTTTATTAATTTTGATTTTGGTCTTTTTTTTGTGAGTTTTGAAGTCAACACATTTCTGTTTTCTTTCTGTGTTTGGCAGGGCAGGGCAGGACAGGTTCTCTTTGAAGACTGGAACTTAAGCTTTGCCTCTGCCTCCCAAGTGCTGCAACTACAGGTTTCTTCCAATATGGCTGTTATTTTCCTTATACAACAGACATTTCACCAGTCCTACAGGAGTCAGCATACCAGGACACTGAGCCTATATTTTCCTTATACAACAGACATTTCACCAGTCCTACAGGAGTCAGCATACCAGGACACTGAGCCTATAGTCTCTAAGGGATAAACTGACTTGGGCCCTGCCTGGCTTGGGCCAAGCCCAGCATATGGTTCTCTCAAGAGGCTCAAACCACAGGCCTGAGGCCCCCCACCCCCAGTGGCAATGTAAAGCACCAACTTGACAAGGGTCCCTGGAAAGTCTGCATTCCCTCTCTCAGCCACTGGAAGTGCTCAGGCCCTTGTAATGAAATCCAATTTACATTACATCCAACTTGACCCAGCCTATTCCTCTATCCTACCCATTCTCTAAGGCCACTCTAGGCTACTACTGATTTCATGATTTCCTTTGTCTCATCTAGGACACCAGGTTTATTTTACCTCTGTACCTTTTTGGTTTTGTTTGTTTGTTTTTGTTTTTTTGACCTTCCATTTCGATACTTTTTACAGTTTATGTAAAGTACAAACCAAACATACGAAACTTCGGTTTTTCTCATTTTAAACTTGGAGTCAGAGGGCTTGTCATCTATGCCACGTGAGCCCCTGTCCTGGCCAGCTTCTTGAAACCAAGTGACCAGGAGGAAGTGGCCACCCAGAAGGAAGTAGCCACTGTTTACCAAAAAGAGGAAATTTGGGAAATGAACTTACTCACACAAGGCTAGTCCCTGGGCAAACCCTAGGGAACAAACATCCAGGGGTTCATTGCCAGCCAGTTTCTCCTCTGAAGGAACAGCATGCCCAGAGTCTCAAACTACATACTGCCTTTGTGCCTGTCAGATCCCTGGGAGCCTAAACTGGTCATGTTCACCTGCCACAAGAGTTCTCAGTGACGTGCAAGTCCGCTGTTCAGGACCCCAGTTCCCACATGTATAGCAAGTTTCTGCACAGGACCCCAGTTCCTACCCGTGTCCAGGAAATGGATAGATGAATACTCATCCAGGCCCTACTCTGTTCTGCAGCAGGTCTAGCTGGGGCTGGGTTATAGGTGGGCTGTGGTCATTCTTCTGCAGCTCCCCAGGCTAGTTCAAGTCTTTGTACTTAAAGCCCTCTTGGTTTTCTGTGGCCTTGCTGCCATTTGGGCAGCCAACCGTGACTACATTAGGGCTAAACACGCTGGTCTCTTCACTGTGCCCTGCTTGGGAAGTCATTCCTCTCTCACTGGGACACAATTAAGGCCTCTGTTTTTGGAGAAGAGAGAGACAGAGATGGCTTAGCTTCTTGGGGGCTGGGGCATGGTTTGAAGAAGCTAGCCTGATAGAGAAGAGATCAATGGAAGAGGAAGAGGCTGGGAAATTGGAAGGATGGGAAGGTTTGGGGGAGAATAAAG